AAAACTGAGGCACATATAAATGACATAAATTCACTGAAGACAGCTCTAGAAAATGGGAACGGAGGATTCCAAACAATAAGAGATAATTAATAGGCACTCTTTTATTCCTTCCATTCTACACCCATTCACTGGAGATGGGAACTGAGGCAAAGGACAGCAGATAATATGGAGAGAACAATAGTGGTAAGACACAAAAATTTGTTGAGGCGTTAGGCATCAGAGTATACTCACCATGGGTAGAAGGGAGTGATCTTGCCTCTCTCCCTTCATTTTCACTGCCCTCTTATATATGGAGGGCAATGAATCTGAAGTGGGAGGGCTGTGCTATCCATGGACACTCTCCACAGGAGCTGGGACCCAGAGTCCTGACTCAGCTGGAGAGTGTCCACAGAGAGTGGGAAATCTTCAATTCAGGTGCATGACTCTCCACATGAAGGACGTCAATGGAACCAGAAATGGGAGGGGACAGAGTGCTTCCGTCTGTACATGGTGACTAGACAGAGATTCCCCAAATGGAGCTGGTGTTGCGAGCACATGACACAGTGCATTCAAAACAGATCATGTAATAATTTTGCTTAAAAGGGACATTTTGGGGAAAGGCAATTGGAAACAGAGGAGCTTTGGATGGGCAAGCATTGGATAAGTAGGGTGGCAAACTTTATCCTGCTTCATGGCATGCCGTTTTGTTTTATGTCTCCCCTCCAGGCATTTTTGAAACTTCTGTAACTCTCAAAGAGGAGGGAGGAAAGCTTGTAAGCACTCTTACTGTGCAGCCTTCCCACTCTTCACCATTTGCTCTGAAAGTTTAGCTGATTAAATAGTGGCAGGGCAAAACACCTAGTACCCCCATGCAGACACTGCTGACAGTCATGAACATTAAGCAGCAGCTGTGCTAAATGCACTACTTGTCATGTGCACAATGGCCCTGTTGATGGCTTTAAAATAAGAATGAGTGAGCAAGGTCTTGCATAACTAATGTATATGTTATGTTCTGTCAAGTTGTATCCAACTTATGGCACGCCTAGAAGGGTTTTTTTGGACATGTTAGATATATAAGGAACTGTTTTACCATTGTCCACCACTAGTGAGTTTTCATAGCTGAGCTGAGTTTTGAACCCAGGAGTCAGGCACTCTATCCACTACACCATAATGAACCTCTGCCGAACCAATCCAAATAACTACTCGCTTTTATAAATTCAAATGGGGAATAGCCATCACTCCAGTGTGTCTTGCTGCAACCTGAGAAGATTCTTCAATACCAGGCAGAATTTAACCTGAGTAAGTCTGCGTAACACATCCTCCGTTCTATTTTAAGATTGAGAAGGAAATGGTGGATTGGATTCTCAAAAGCATCTGCTCACTTATTCTTTCTCCAGCCATTTTCTGCCATTCCATTTCCTTTTTCACTTTCTTCATCCATCCTCAAGAAGATATCTGGTGATCTTGAATGTTTCCCTGTGACTTCTTTTTCAGTACTTAATTGGTTTTAATAAACACTGTATACTGTATTCTGCATTTGTTGTGTGAAGCATTATATGTTGAAAAGCAAGTAAGCAAACAAACAAGATCAGTATTTGGGGAAGGGGAATCAAACCAGGTGCGGAGAGGGACTTTCTCTGTTCCTGCTGAAATCATGTGTAGGCATTGTACCTTAGCCACTATTTTGGAAAGAAGGGGGCAGCCTCAATAGGCTACCCCCTACCCCCCTTGTCCCACTTCATGGTATGTCATTTTGTTATATGCCTTACTTGCAGCTGGTTTTTGGATGTGCGCTTTGTTCTTTCTGCCAGTTGCCAACCATTTGCAGATTCTCATGATAAGGGCATTATGTTTGCATAACACAACTCATGAACCATGTATATTTCTGGGCTGACACAGAACAGAGCCCAAGTAATGCATATTCACAAAGGGCCTATTAGTGTCCCATAAGACTCTGTGGTGCTGACAAGATGATGGCCTTTTGTGAACTCTCTTTTGGCAAGCAGGAAGACTTTTTTAAAAAATAAAAAAAGCAATAAACTGAAGATTGGACTCAATCCATTACAAACTGTTTATACAGAGAGAATTTTTAAATGGGCATTGTCAGTTAGGTTTTATTATAAGCTGAACGTAACAATTATAACCAAAGGATAAATTTACAGTTCCTTTCTCCTTGATGGCTTACAGAAGAGTGGGAGGTCAGAATCATTATAACATAATGCAGTTGAACTTCCAATCTCTCAACCATAGTCAGAGCCAGCTCTGCCATTAGGCAAAGTGAGCTTTCTCCCCTGGACAGAAGGTTCTGCATGTCATGACAAATCAGTGAATTATTAGTTCAGCAGCCGCCGCAGCCACTTTCTCCTACTAGGGATAAGGAGAGGAGGCCGGGTGTTTTTCTGCCTCAAGTGCCAAATAATTTGATTGACAGTGGGTCAGAAGTTCAAGATAGTTATTGACAAAAAGTATAAATTAATAATGGATATTGGTAATTGACTGCAATAAAGTTTATCTATCTACAAATCAATAAAGGCAGTGAAGTTGTATAACACAAAATATAGAGAGACTGCTCACATAATGGTTAATGGAAATAACAGGTTGTTACAGCTGATCTTTCACTATAAACTACATGGTAAAAGAAGTGCAGGAAGAAAAACCTACTGGCTGAAGAACTGAGGAGAGTGGCTTGGATGAAACACAACATAGTTGTTTAGAGCTGCCACATCCAAAGTCAATATAATCATGGTGACACCCGGCCTTTTGATATAGATAAAAAGATGACACTGAGTGCTATGAAAATGAAAGCTGGTGGGTGGGTGGAGGGTGATTTGCTCTTCTACCTCTGGCAGTAACATGTGTCAGACTAGCAATGTGTCCATCACGGGCTCTTGGTAATAATTGTGTACTGAGACTCTGATATTCTGCAACTCCTAGTCCTAAGATCTCTTCAATATTACCAAATATGCAACTGTGCAGGACAATTGTTTATTTGTCTAACGTTGGTTTGTGGCAGGTTTGGTGTTGGGTTTGGTGATATGAGAATGGGACGGGAGGAAAGTCATTGTGCGATTTGAGATAATCTTCAGAGAGAGGTTATGAGATGTCTAAAGTTCACATTTAATCTCGGATAGGAACTCACTGGATACCAGTTTTGATCCGCCATTTGCAATGTGAGTGAAAATGCCATTGGTTCATTTTTAGAGGGTTCCCCACTCAAAGAGACCCTGCAGGGGGAATAAAATGCATTTTTGCAAAAACACACTAATCCAGCTGTGAAAGGAGACATTGCACCTAGTGCTGCCTGCTGCATGGGCTTCCTTGAGAAGTTTCTTATGGCTTGGCTTTATATGCCTTAATTTCCGCATCAGAAAAATGAGATGTGTAATAATCTTTGTATGCCTTCGAGACATACACAGCTCCACTTATGATTTGAAACCCTCAGATTTAAGACACTACTGAGAAGTACAGAGTTCTGCTGTTGATTTATTGATCACTCCATAGCAGCCTTAAACCTAAGGTTGAAGGTCACATATTTGTGTTCCCACAGAGGAGTTTTCATCTCTGTCTTTTTACTAACAGGCTACAAGATTTGCAGATGATGCAGTGATGTGTGTTTCACCACGTCCAACCGAACATATTAACATTTTCTGTGGGATAAATAAATATGTGTTTGTTCTGCCTAAATTGGGTCTGCAATATAGCCTTTGTAGAATATTTCTTATGGAGACCTTGATGAAGGGTGTTAAAAATGGAGGGGAGAATTCCCTTTAGTATAAATGTCATTGGACAATGAATAAATAGTGTAGACTTGCATCTCCCTTATTCATCACATTTTATAAAAGAGCAAGCCAGGAGATAAAGTGATGATCCTTCCTACTGGTAGGCATACTAGCTCAGCTGTCAAGTCATGCAACCTCAGCATATCTCTAGGTGTCTGGTAGGTGAATGAGCTGTGAATGTGTGTCCATGTGTATGCTCCACATACCATGCCTATCTTACTTGATTAATGTGAAGGGCCCTCTACCCACTGCTGTAAGAAGTTGCAAAGCTATGAAATGAAGACAATGTTGAAACAACAGCTTTAGGGAAGTGACAATGCCAACCTTTTAACTGCTCTTTGCTAGCTTTCCTAACTAGCTGCCAAATTTCTACTAAGGTCTGTGTATTTGCAGCTTTGCTTCCTCATTAAAAAGATTTCACTTTTTAGCAGTAAAACTGGTTTGTGCTCTCTGTCTCTCTCTGTCTTTCTCTCTGTCTCTGTCTCTGTCTCTGTCTCTCTCTCTCTCTCTCTCTCTGTGTGTGTGTGTGTGTGTGTGTGTGTGTGTGTGAGAGAGAGAGAGAGAGAGAGAGAAAGAGAAACACTAATTTAAATAAAATGCTGATGTTTGGGGGTCTGGAGTTGCTCTGCCCAGTTCTATAACATTGTCTTTCTGTATGTTGAATAGGAAACTAGAGAACGTCAAGCTAGAGAAAATCCAGTAGTTAATAAAATAAAACCGCACAAGAAAAAAAATTGCAATCATGTTTTCCCTACAGTTTTATATATAGGGTAGCTGCTGAGAACAATTCTTGAAGTTGTATTTATTATTGTTAGTGGGGTATGATATTTCATGGCAGAAATGATGGATGACAACTTAAATTTGTGTCCAGGGAATGAAGGTGAACTGTGACAGAGTTATTTATCTTGGGAATGGAGGTTAGGGTCAGGCGAGGCTGGGTGCCTGAAGGCTCAAGACATTGACAAATTCATCCTGCAGGCCTCATATCTGAAGCCTTTTGTTTTGGATCCTGGCTACTCACTAAGTGACCCCCATCCTTCATTCTGCCAGCATGTGAAGGATGTGTTGTTGTACCGGCACTCCCCTTGCCACTAATTCTTGTCATTCAGTCTCCTGACAGGACTAAACCAAAATTCTTCCTGTTCCTTGAAAGGGAAGGTTAAAATATTTATTTCAGCTCATAACAGCCTCCCTGATTTACTGGAGTATCATTTTTTTCCCCTGTTGCCTTTGTCGTTGCAGGTCAGTGGAAGGACTGGAGACGTTTAGCAGCTTGGAAGAACTCATCTTGGACAACAATCTCCTCGGGAATGACCTCCGGTTACCCAGGTTACCACACCTCCATACGCTGATGCTCAACAAGAACCAAATATCCTTTCAAAGGAGGGAGGGGTGGCAGGGGAGACTCTGCCAAATGTCAGATAATCTTTATGTGTCAGCTAAATTAAAGTATGTAAAATAGAGTTCATATGCAGACAAAGCATTCTCTTTCTTTCTCTTGTCAGTCAGAATACTTCACAGTAATTTATTGCAGGTCATTCATAAACGAAATGCCTCACTATATCTTCCAGTTGCTCTATTTTTTAGTGTGAGACCTAAGTTTATGGCTCTGAAGGAATCTTTGTTAATAGATTGAGAAGGAGAAATAACAGCCCGTTGCGCTTGGTAACAGATCCCAGCCTGCTTGGGTTCTGTGGCAGGCTGACCTCTAGTGGAATAGAGTGTGCAGTGAGAAAACAGGAAAAAATTGTGTGGTTTTTTTTTCCTGTGCTGAATGTGTCTTAAAGAAAGAGACTACGAATTCTTGTTGAATTTGGCAGTAACATTCTCTCAACAGGAATGAGCCAGGAATAAACCAGAATAATATCTCAGCAACAGAGGCCTTTGCTGTTTTGTGTCAAGGAGAGATGGCCTGATCACTGTGTCATGGGTCTTATTTCTTGTCCAGGGCTCCTTAAAATGTTCAGCCTCTCTGAGGATTCTGACTGTTCTCTAGCCACTCAGTTTCTGCATCGCATTCTGGATCTCTGTTGTTGAAAATGCTGGTAGGCTCTTCAACACAAGGGGTACAGTAACCACATATATTATTCAGTTCTTCAAAATTGTCCAGTGAATGTGGGATACTGTGCTTCTGTCTCCACAATTCAAAACACAAGGAAATGGCCCTGCTACACAATATCATGCCTGTGTTGCCAGCAGGAAAAAGAATGCCAAACTGTACATAGAAAAGGGCAACCTGAATGTTACAATATCCATGTCAGCCGTCAAAATGGTCTACAAGATACTCTCTTGTGTTCAATACATTTCTTCTAGGCATTTTGATACCTAGAGAACTTGTTGAAAAACAGCTCTGACAATTGCTTTGTTTTGGTGAGAAGTGGTTAACTGTTGGAAAAAAAGAGAAGGCTCTGGGATTTTCCTCAGCTTGGTGTCTCTTTGTGAATGGTAATGAGCACAGGAGGGTATCCTATAGATGAATGCGTCCCCCAGATGTTCTTAGACTAAAACTCCCAGAACTCTTCACCACTAGCTATGCTGGCCAGGATTTCTGGTGGTTGTAGTCCAAGAACATCTGGGGACCCAAGGCTGGGAAACACTTCTATAGACCATCTTGTCTTCTGACATGGGTGTCATCAACATTCATGCTGTCCTTTGCTATGTAAATCTTGACATCCTTTTTCCCACTAGGAATGTGGGCATGATATTGGGCTGCAATGTTAGGTCATTTCTGGGTGTTTTTAATTGTGGATAAACAAGCACAATATGCTACATTCATAAAGCTTAAATGGTTGAGCTTCTGAATGTTCTGTGTTCTTTTCAAAATATATATTTAACATATTATAAACATCTGTAGTTTAAAAAAAAAAATTTCTTTTTGTATTTCCATTTTTGCAACCAGGCACTGAATCCTCTAGCAAATATGATTCAGATAATCCTGCTTGGCCATGAAGGAGTTAAAAGGTTAAAAACTAAATGTCAGTTAACTGGGTTCTGAATCAAAGCTTCAGATTGCCTCAATTTATGTGAGAAGACTGGTCTCAGAAATCATGAGAGAATGTTCACTGAAGACATCCCCCTTTCTGGAGGACTGTCACTCCATTACTTTCTTTAAAGCAAAACTGATTTTAAACCTCTTGAAAGAAAACATGTCTTTTCAGTCTGTTTCTGTGACTTTTCTCTCTAAATCTCTCTCTCACCCTGCCTATGAATGTATACAGTGTTTCATTTTGCAAAGTTCTTGCTGCCTAGCCTGTACCATGCTCAGTCTTATAAAAAAGTAGATGTTTTTCCCTTCTGAAAAGCCTTTTTTGAGGATAGTGTATTTCAGCCCCTGCAGTCTGGATTCCTTCCAGATTAAAAAAAGTGAGTGGGGCCAACCATTCTCTTTCAAGATGAGCAACCATTCTCTTTCAAGATCCCCCCCCCAATTTATGAGATTTGTTTTAAATCTGGGGATGTTTAGGGTCACCTATTTCTGAACAGAGGGGGGTGTTTTTTTATTTAAATAATCATACCTCAAAAACCCTTTGCTTAGATTTCTCAAATTTGGCATGAAGAAAGAGCCGACTATCTGCTACAAATGTGCCAGATTTGTTGCTGATCTGAAGTCCAGATTAAAAGCTATACAGTGGTACCTCGCAAGACGATTACCCCTCAAAACGATGAATCTGCATGATGAGGATGTTTTGCGACTGCCATTTTGCTTTGCAAAACAGTGATTCCTATGGGAGAATTTCACTGGACGATGATTTGGTCCGTGCTTCATGGACTGTTTTTTCACAATACAATGATTTAGAACAGCTGATTGGCAATTCACAAAATGGCTTCCCTAGGGGTGATCTTCGCAAAACGGGTGTTTTCGGGCCCGTTTTTCGCAAGACAGTGATTTAGAACAGCTGATCAGGGGTTTGCAAAGCGGCTTCCCTATGGGCGATTTTCGCTGGACGACGAATTAACATTGTCTAGTGGGGCACCACTGTGTGTGTGTGTGTGTGCTGCCAGCTCAAAATTATTTGTTCTGCCAGCTCAGAATTATTGCTGTACTCTTGTGCATATAAGATAATAATATTGTATTCTGAGGCTACTATAGGGCTGAGCTGAAATTACCTCTCCCATTTTATCTCCCTTTTCATTGCTGTAAAATATACTTTCTTTGATGTTTCATCAAAATGCGATATGCACCACAGGATGCAACACACTGCTTGGGAAACTACAGTATACAGGAAGCCCCCAAAGGTACAGCGTAGGCAAGGCACTAACCAGCTTTTTTCCAAGACAGCTCTCATCAAATGTCCAGTTACCATGCTCAGAAGAATTAGACCTTTTAATTAATGAACATGACAATATTTCAGTAGCTTCTAACTACTAAACTCACAACAACAAATTCTTAAGGGAAATATGAGGAGACCCAAACAAGTGAAAAGTCTAAATAAAGTTTCGGTAAATGAAACCAACAAATTCACTTTCCCCCTGTTACCCAATGCTCTTAACCTGTCAAGGTGCAACCAGTATTTTTACATACACCGTTTAACTAGACCAATTGGACTGAGTGATAATAGTACCTATGAGTCAAAGTAATTAGTGTGATAAAAGCATTCCCTGTACCTATAATCCTTACAACAAACATTTGAATCCATGGATGCCCAGAATGTTGCTAACTACAGAAGCCACCCCTTGTAGGGAGGAGCTCTTTGGTCATCTAGATCAGTGGTCCCCAACCTTGAGCCTCCAGATGTTCTTGGACTTCAACTCCCAGAAATCCTGGCCAGAACAGTTGATGGTGAAGGCTTCTGGGAGTTGTAGTCCAAGAACATCTGGAGGCCCAAGGTTGGGGACCACTGATCTAGATAACCAAGGGATTTCCTCTCCCTCTCCATATGTAGAGCAGCATGTGAAGCCAAGTTCGCTCACTCAACATTTGCATGCACTGGCTAAGTCCTAACTTAGGGACAGGCTATTCATGGAGGGCTAGCTGACAGTGTTTCATTCCTCTTCCCATTTTCTCATACTGGGGAAGGGAGAGAAGCTGCAAAACCAAAGTCCTGAAGCTTCATTCAGAGCCCCAGTGAAGAGGAACCTTGCAATATGAGGAAGAAGTCTTGATCTTGAGCCTTATGGTGTCAAGAAACCTAAATCAATAAGAATGAGGACTTCGGCAAGTATTATCTCCATTCTTACCCCCTCCAGCATGCTGTTGCATTCATTAAATTTGGGATCTGGTCAGGTAAAATTAAAACAAACAATATATACGTAATGTTTGGGTATCACATCTGATTTTGCCCAGATGTGAAATATGAAAAACGAAAACCCTAACAACAACAACAACAAAACCACAAGTCTAACACGCGGATCTTGCATTTGATCACTCTCCGCATTTGCTTGTTTGGTTACAGTAAATAAGATGCAAATTGAAATGCACATAGTGAATGGAAGGTCTTAAAGAGCTGAAGTTCTGTTTCTGTCCTGTGGCAAAGCCACTGCCCTTCTGTTATTGAGGTGAAAAAAACAGGGTATATTCCATCTGCAAAAGATAACAAAGATAACAGGATAACATAAATCATAGTCAGGGAAAAATAGCATGAAAGACCTGAGCATTTAAGATAACTGCATAATAACTGTGGCACACAACTCTAGGCCTCTGTGAATGAAATACTGTATTGTTAGTTTAAACCAGTAATTTGTGCTCTTCTTTAGGAAAATAATTGCCCTTGCAACTTACCTTTTTGTGTAAATCAAGGTAATATTATACATAGAAAGTATTCAAGGATTTTCAAATCAATATTTATCTTCTATATTTCTAGGTAGTGTAGTAGTTATGATTATGACAGAGAAGAGTCTTGGTTCAAATCTAGGCCTACTTATGAAATCACTATGTTACCCAGACAGATTACATTAACATAGCAAGTTGACTTACAGCAGATGATTGTTTGTGTGGTGATTTTTTTAACTGATTATATAAGACCAGAGATAAATCTTTCTCATGCTGAATCATGTTCTCAAAAGCCTGCAAGCTGAAAACAATGCCTGATATATTAGAGTCCCATCTCTACCAAGGAAACTCATTGGGGGAATAGAAATGATAAAACCTCTCCTTAAATATCTTAATTACTTTGAAAGCCCTATCAGGGCCGCTATCGACAGTATATAATAACATGAAATTTAGGCTATTTTCTCCCTGTTCACATAAATGTATTTAACTAGCCATTTCTGCTGTCAACGTTTTTTTTCCTCCTAACCCTAGACATCAACCAAAACAAAAACAACAACAACAAAAAAGGTTTAATGATTAAAATGGGAAATCTTCTATACCCATAAAACTACCATGATGGTTGTTCAAAATATCAAAAAATGGTGACCAGCAAGCCCACAAGTATAGTCTGCTGCTCTCCTACTATGCACACCTGTTCTGATTTTATTAGCACCTTGTTAAAATACTAGGTAACTCTACTGAGCATACATATATTTTGTATATATATAATAATTGAGAATATGTGTAAGTGGAGAACAAACCAAGTGTTCCATGCATCGACATACTAAATAGCTCCTAAAATATACGTACATCTTATTTCATCCTTCTTCCTCAAGAAAACTCAAGGTTAGTTACACAATGCACATTCTGTCGTTGGTTACCTTAGCAGCAAAGACGAAGCCAAGAAAAAAAAAGTTCACATATTATATTTGACATGTGTTCAATCTGTTCACATGTATACACAAATAGCTGATCCATATAGATATGTAGGTTTTTTTACACTGTTCATGGATTACAGAGATAGCCACACATACAGCTATTCACCAGCAATGCAAAGTACAGTACATAGGGTTTGTACAGGAGATTCTTGATCTGACTGTATGTTTTTGCACATAGCACATTCCTTAACCGTACCATGTGGTAAATTATCTCAGCCCTTGCATTGCTGCAGCCCTTGCACAAAGCATCCTAAGTAACAAACCAAGATAAACAAAAGTTCTTTTTCTAGATAGTGTTTTTCTTTGTGGCTGAAGCACTTGTTCATTAAAGCGGTGCTGTTAAAAAAATTTTTAAAAGACTTATCTGTTTAACATAGGATAGCCCCTTCTGGAAAAGGTACTTAAATAATTAGAAATACAAGTAATCCAGTTATGTAGAATTCTTTTTTTTAAAGTTATCTTACACCAAAATCATCAATATGAGACTGTGAAAATGGGATAAAACACTAATAAAAGTTTTAGAAATTTTGTTTACTAAAAAGTTGAAACAAGAGAGCAAGCAATAGGAAGAATTCATATAACTGTATGCCTTAAAGACAGTGTCTAAGCAAGACAAAATAGAAGAGGATAGAGTCCAATAAGACACTTGTCCAACACCAGTGAGAAATTAGGGTTTCTCTTCTCCTCTCCTCTCCTTAAGCCTGTCCTTTGCTACACAGATCCTCTGGGGTATATTGCTGCTGTAGATCCCAGCCTACTGTATCACTTTCTGGCCTCAGAGCTTTGTTGCTCTATTTTGGTTGTGTTTTGTATTCACTCATTGACCTTGTAGTATTCTGTCTTTCTCAAACCTTCCACTGTGATGGTTGTTGTTGATTATACTGTCTTCTGTTTTCGGAGTAGATTGATTCTCTGTTGCCTTGCCTCTAGTTTCTAGGGGTAAATGTAATTTCTTCAAGCCTTTTTTGAATTAGTGCCAGAAAACACAAATGGGGAAAGATGAAAAGAAATTACCCAAAAGAGATGGTCCATCTTGTTCATATTAAATGAAAAGACCAGTCATAAAAATAAATGGAAATGAACAAGGTACTCTCAATGAGAACCCTGAACAAGACAAAGATGTAAGTTTTTGTTGCACAGTTGCCTAATTATGATTCACTTAAGAAAACAGAAATGGATTTTAGAATAATAGATTAACAGAATGGGAATCCACTCTTATGGGGAAGACATGTCATGGCATCTGGATCTATTTTTTTTTAAAGGAATGGATTAATACTATTTAACGAATTGCAGTAAAATTACATAACGGCAATGATTTATTTTGAGTGCACAGTGGTGGTGTATTCATGATTTAACTTGTTGTATCCTGTCAAGTCACCCTGACAGTATTTTTTGAGGCATGTGACACATTCAAGGGGTGGTTTACCTTTGCCACACATCCACAGTGAGTTTCCATGGCCAAGTGAGTCCTAGTGTGACATTCTGTCCACTATGCCACATTTGCTGTTTATGGTTTAATACTCACCAAATATATTTAATGAAATATATTTTAATGAAATTAAAATATTATCTATAATATGGATAATTTTACTTTCCATATGTATTTAAGTTCAATGAACTGCAGAAAATAACAGATACAGGGACATTTCAGAAAATTATTATGCCACCTTTGTTCCAGGATTTGGTCCTAGGATAGTCACCTAGTTATAGTCTTGTGATCTGTGGTAGGTTGTATTGTACCTACACTTAAATTATAGTAATAATAATGTCTAAATATGATTATGTTTGCACACCACTTTAAATTAACAAATGCAAACTCAATGCAAAAATCCACTCCTTTTTCATGATCCTTGACCTTTGGGTGATGGAGCAGTGGTCACTCTAGCTATTGGACCAGGACAACCACAGTCACAGTTGAACTGAGACTGCAGTTTCTCCTTCTGAATTTGTTGGATGTAACAGTTCTTTTTTCTCCCATGTCATCAAGGCAGATAGTAGAAGAAAATGAAAGGCACTAAATAAATCTTGCTTTCTTTATTCATATCAGAGTGTTGCACAATTTAACATAAGGATACTAATGAAAATAGTAAATAAAAAGAGGTTACCTACCTGTAACCCTAGTTCTTCTAGTGGTCCTCTGTGAATTAACACAAATGAGTTGTTCTGCACCTGTGCTGAGTGTCTTGGAAGATTCTAGAGCTTAAAAATACGTTAGTGGCACATGCTCTGCCCACCTAAGATTCCCCTCAGTTCCTAGAATTTATCCATCGGGCAGAAGAATCATTTAATATAACCCATGATGGACAGAGGGGAGGATGGGTGGGATGTGTGAATTCACAGAGGACACTAGAAGAACTATGGTTACAGGTAGGTAACCTCTTTTTCTTCTTCATGGCCTCTGTGAATGCACACAAATGGTTGACTGGCAAGCTTCACTTTCCGGATGGTGGGACATCATGGTAGGAAGGATGTCAATACAAATCTGCCAAATCCAGCATCATTTTATGCTCTCACATCTAGATGATAATGCTTGACAAAGGTCAATAGGGTAGACCATGTTGCAGCACGACAGATGTTAGGAATCTCAATTCCACGCTGGAAAGCAGGAGATGTTGACAGTGCTCTAGTGAAATGTGCATTCAAATGATCAGGAGGTGGTTTGCCTGATATGTCAATATAAATCTGCCAAATCCAGCATCATTGTATGCTCTCACATCTAGATGATAATGCTTGACAAAGGTCAATAGGGTAGACCATGTTGCAGCACGACAGATGTTAGGAATCTCAATTCCACGCTGGAAAGCAGGAGATGTTGACAGTGCTCTAGTGAAATGTGCATTCAAATGATCAGGAGGTGGTTTGCCTGATAGTTCATATGCCAGAGAAATAGTTTGGACTATCCATCTGGAAATGGATTGTGATAAGGCTGGGCCTCCCTTGTGAGGTCCATGGAAACATATGAAAAGTCTAGCTCAGAACTTCCAAAAAACTAGGAAGGACTGCCTTTTGAGTTAGCCCAAATAAAATATGTCAGTGGATTACACCAGAATTTGACAGAAATATGTATCTCTCCAAATCATGAGGTCAAAGTCACTTTCTGTCAGTGGATTACGCCAGATTTTGACAGAAATATGTATTTCTCCAAATCATGAGGTCAAAGTCACTTTCCTCCAATGTTTGGACAGTTTTTAGTACTTCATAACTTGCTGTGCCCAAAACAGGACACCTTCAGTTTTAATAGGATTCGGGGGTGGGGGGAATGTTGAGAAAGGTGGAAGGCAGCAGGAAAAGAGAACGACGGAATACAAGTATGAAATAATTAACAAAATATTGTTGGGCACCAACATTTCTCTTTTGGGTAGTACTGATGGCCTCTTGTGATTGACTCTATTTTAAAGCTATTTTTTCTAATGGGCTATGATCTGTTTAGTAATGAATGTGAAAAAAAATTGTTTGTTGCAATTTTGGAAGCATTTCATGTGCTCAGCAGTGGCTAAACATTACCCATCTACACCCATAATGTCAGTCAAAGTTCTTAATGCTCTTGCAGAGTCTTCTAGGAAAGAAAATGTGGAGGAGAGGAAAAAAAACAGATAGGTGTGAACCCCAGTGCCTATAATATAATCACATAAAGCTTTTCTTCCTGTCAGTGTCATGGAATCCTTAACCCATAACTGTGGATACATAACAGAACTGGAGGGTCTGCTAGATCACTTGGTTGAAGTAGCACCTTCCCTGGAGTACCTCAGTTTGCTAGGAAATACAGCATGCCCAAATGAGCTGGTCTGCAAAGACAAGGATGAAGGAGACTACCGAAGATACAGGTTGGTATTTTGGATTACAAACATAATTGGTTTTCAGTTGTAAGGTGTTCTGCCAAAATTAAATAGTCGTTGCAGCCAAACAGTTAGCAAGCAATGCATAAGTTGTACTTATCTAATGCAGAACTATAAAGCCTTTGATACATTATATACATATGAGGAAAGTGATGTGGCCACTTCAGGCATTTAGGAGCAGAGGCTCCTTCACCTGAAAGTATGACAGTTACCATGTGGAGTTTGGTAGGACCTGGCAGACCTGTTCATGACAGTGAGGCAGAAGATGACAAGTCACCATTTGTGTGTTTTCTAAATAACTATTCTCAAGTTAAATTCGGTTTAATAGTTATGGATTTCTGTCTACTTGCCTCTGAGTGGAATAAAAATTCCTTGGTTATATTGCATGTATTTTCTGAGATGATGCTTAAGAATACTTTGATTGCACCATTCATAGATAACGAGACATCGTGAGCCTTCATCGTATATTATCTGGAAAATCTTGAAATGAGTGTTGTCTGAAAAAAGACACTAATTGGTAACCATGAGATTTAAAACAACAACAACGATTTTGCTAATGTAGCAGTTACTTGCTTGAAATTATGCTCCGAAAGTTGGCAGGCTCACAATCTGTAGTAGAATTAAAACAATATTCTTTTAAATTAAACTGTGCAACAAGCCAATTTCTGAACTATTCTTAAATGTGTCATCCTGGCTTTTGAATAACATATTTTTCACATTGCTTTAACCCCAAACTGGAAAGCATGCTGGCTGTCCTCCTTACAAAGAGCCTAACAATGGTGTTGCAATGTAAATTTAGGAGGCATTTTCACCACAGAATTGCTTTAAAATGAATGGTATCTCTTCAGTTTACTGTTTTTCACTTTAAGTACATTTTTCTGACAATAAACTTCCTATTAATCATTTAAGCAAAAATAGTTCTTTAAAGGAGCTATTGAGAGGCAAGAATCCATGGTTCATTTAATGCTGTCTGGGAAAAAAAGTCTTACTGAGTGACATTCTCTTTGGTTGTGTGATGTAATATTTATAATATGTCACACAGCCGTACATCAAAACAATCATGGCTGTTGTTGCATTTGCATGCACAATGTTGACTTTTTTTTTTTTTAAAGAAGGTCAATGAAGTTTTAGATCATGCTTATGGCACACATACTAAGTATGTGGAGAATCAGTATTTATATATTCAGAATGATGGTTGAAGTCCTGTTGGTTGATATAGGAAGTCACACTAGAGTAAGCTCATTGAATCAGTGGGGATTTGGTGGGTCAATGCCTCAATTGGTTGAAATGAGCCTGCTCTAGTTGCATCTAACTATAGTGTAGTATTGCATATTTTCCATTTTTGGAATTAATATATATTTTAAATTTCTACGTTGTCCGTATTATATGTGTACTGGATATGCCAAGCCACTCTGATTGTTCTGACAAAATCAGAATAAAAGGTTAGAGGGATTAAAGAAACACAGCAAGGCCAAAAATACAAGGTTTATGTTACTGAGGCATTTGGGACATATGCTGAACCCCGCCAATATTCTAAATGTTCATTTCAGAAGCTATTACCTTACCTTTTTCTCACACCTATAAAGAAATGGTTACATGGAGGCATTCAACACTTTGAAACCTGCAGAGCATGTTGTGAAATATTGATGTTTAGAAATCTGTAACTACTACTTGTGTAAATGCAGCTGCAATAAGTTCTTCAGTTCAGCACTTTGTCCTGGGCCACAGCAATTACATGTATGTGTGTGCGCGCGCACGCATGTGTCTGCGTGTGCGCATTTGTGTGCGCGTGCACCCCCTCTCTCTGTGTGTGTTTAAAATATTTTACCTGACCTTTCCCCTTAAAAAAACAACAACAAGGCAGCTTACACTCTACATTGACTAATATTTATCCAACCTTCTCTACAGATTTTAAAGCATATAACATAAACATAGGAATAGAACTATTGGAAATACAAAGAAAAAATGAGAAGAAATTGATGAGGTTTTTTTCCTGTAGGAAGTATAGCCATCTAATTATGAGAGTATTCATCAGCAATAATACCGATTGTTGGACAGGATCAATAAAAGGAGTTACCTCTGTGTAAACATGGTGGAAAAGGTGTTGACTATGGGAATAAGGGGCTCCATGATATTTCAATTGCAGAAGATGGAAGGAAGGGAAAGCCAAAACGTGTTTCCAGTAAATCTACAAACTGGCATTGCTGTGTTTAATGCATGGCGGGAGGGGGAAAAGGTAAAAGAAGAAGAAAATAAATCACTTTTCATACTATCAGTCAGTCGGTCAATTTATTGTTACAGTCCTTAGACAAATCATACAGAAAAAAAAAAACATTTACATATTTACAGAATTCCAAAGTTCATACTATACTCATGCATCTTACACATAGAATGATTTCTGGACTTCAGTAATTTGGAGCAGGGCTTTGTATTATATTATATTCAGTGTATTTTTTTCCCTCTAGCAACTGTAGGCAGCATTTTAATGTGCAACATTTCTGATAGTATAAAGGAATTAATTCAAGTTTAAAAACTTAAAGATAAATTAGAAATTGATGTAAGTTATGAGGAAGAAACTATGATTTCCTGATTTAAAAATTCAATACACATTTGTGAAAACAAACAACTTAACAGTAGTAGTATTTTGGATTTTGTGAAATGTACAAAGGGATCAAATGCGGTCAGTTTATTTTGCACGCCATGAGCAATTAATACAGATTAATAGGATTACTCTTGATGGTGAATAATTAATTATCTCCTACTAAGTATCATTGTGTAGGAATGACTGCCTCCTTTGTGGTTTTTAAACTTTATTCATAATCAAAATACAGTGTTGAGAGCAATGCCTGTGGAGAAGGACTATAGGGGGAAAAGGGGGAATGTGTCTAGCAAAGCGGCACAAATACCCAATAACCTCATCTTCAGTGTCTGCTTTGAAGATCTCCGGAAAGCAAAGGTCATGACCGAGAGATCAAAGTCACAGAGAGTCAACACAATAATTGCTGGTTACTCGTCTTGTAGCAACAGCACTTGTTCTGTCGTGGGGGTCTATTGTTTGCAATGAAAACATGAGCCATGTTATTACTGGACTGTGAAAAATGGCCTGGGTCGGAATATATTACAAAGCATTTTTAATATAGGTGACCTTACTTTGATTGGTAGGAGAAAAATTGCAAAAGAGGGATGTGATGTGTAATTTTAGTGTTTGTGCTGTTCCCTCAAATTTCCAGGTACATGTGGAGTTTCTCTCTTCTGCTAATTTTGATTAATAGACAAACTTAAAGATCTTGACTTTCCAGATTCTATCTGTCTGTGGATTTGGGATTTTTTAACAAATCGTCCTATTTTTTGCTTTTGTGTGGTTGTTCTGGCTTCTTCCTGCCAACTAATGATTCTTGTTCCTTTCCTTGCGGACATTCATAGTCTTCACTCTATGAATTGTCCCACAGAGCCTAAACTAAGGTGTCTGGCCCATAGATAGGATGTCAGTCCCAGAGCAGGGATGGCAGTTTTGTGGAGAGAGTCCGCAGTCCTTCCCAAGCTGTGAAACAGGTCGCACAATGTGTTCCAGAGGAATGTTATTACATTTCTCAACCTCAGCCAATGTTGAGATGGATTCATATCATCTAACTGTAATCTACAAACAAAAATTAAGTAAAAAAAGAGGTTTTTCATTTTACGACATTAGTAGTTGATGCGACCTGATCACTTCCATGCACTTATAGCTGGCTTTTCTGCTTAAGACTTGAGATATACTTGTATGTCTTCCTTTGGAAAAAAAAATTACAACAGATGAGAACAAAAAATATGAAATGTTTTCTCACCATTAGGTGAGATTATGAGGGTGATGGTGTATTTTTCACATATCTGGATTTTCGTGGGGTTTTTTTGGGTGTAAAAATTGTGAAGATGATTGCGCAAAATATATTTTGTGCAAAAACATGGTCTGAAGATGTACTGAAGTACTATCAAAGTAATATGTGTTGTAGTGTAAGTCTGCTGTCCTTGTGATGATGTAGCAGAATGCTGGACTAGATTTTCTATAGCTGCCCCCAGATTATGGAACTCCTTTCTTCAGGAGGTATGGTTGTCCTCTTCTCTCTTTTCTTTCCACCAGCAGCTGAAAATGTATCTCTTTAGGGAGATTATTGGGGAGTCAGCAGGCAAGTAAGATACAGAGACTTTTAAATAAATGCATTCATTTATTTAAAATATTAATATTCTGCCTTTCTTCTAAAGGATCCAAGGTGGCTTACAGTATTAAAAGAAAAAAAAGTTAAAAGTTGTATGATAAATTATCACAAGATTTTTTAAAAAGCATGAAATGGATATATTAATGCAATATTAAAAACACAAGTAAAACACAAGATAAAATGATCCTGTTTAAAAAAAAAATCCCCTTGGTCAATCAGTCATTTAAAGGAGAGGCAACCTGAAGAAAAAAGTTTGATTTATAGTTTTAAAATAATATTTTTAAATATTTGTGTACAATGACTCTCAGGTGTCATTGGTTTTTTTTAAATTAATTGTTGATTTTTTTAAAAAAAAATATGCCAACATGGGTCCCCACTGGGGGAGCAGGGCAGGATAAAACAAATACATGTACAAACACACCCCAGAGATCGGAAAGGTTACTTTGACAAAAGACCACACAGTTCTTATTATTCATTAACTCTCGCAAATAACAAGTTTTTCATAAGTAACAAATAATGTAATACATTAATAATAATTTACCAGCAAAATTATCCTCTATTTTCAGACTCAGAACCTGCTACTGACTTGATTCTTCAGACACGTATTTGTTTTTTGTTTCTTTAATTTAGAACATGGGGTCACAAAAAGTCGGACATGACTAAACGACCAAACAATGGCGACTGAAAGAAGTTGCTTTCACAAAACCTTTTTTTCATGTTTTTGTAGCAAGCACAGCAATGTAATATCCATCATGAAGGACAAGGGGAGTGAGACCAAGATCCCAGGTTGTGACA